CCCCACCTTGACTGGTGCCCATCCTGCACCGGCTGGGCCTCACCCCAGCGTCCACTACAGGAGCCCCCCTCCCATCTCCTCCGGCCTCATTCAACTACCTTCATCTCTCTCTCTCTCTCTCTCTCTCTCTCTCTCTCTCTCCCTCTCACACACACACACACACACACACACACACACACACACCCAGCACCACCTTTGTTAAAAAGAGGTGGCCTGGGTTTCCAGAATGTATACAACCCTCCGCCTAGGCTCATGAATCCACCTTTCAGGGACATTCACAGGACAGAGTCTATAGTAAGTTTCTCTCTGTGCCCGTCACCTCTTCCTCTAGATACCCCCAAACCACTGGCATCCACCCAAAAAGTTCGTCCTACAACCTCCACCCAAGCACATTACTAATACATGGCTCCAACTACATACAGAAAGAAGAAAGGACTCCAACTTCGAAGCCTTGGGAATTAGTAAACCAAGAGCTAAAATTCAAAACAAATGCTCTTTCATGTGGAGGACTCTTTTTTTTTTTCCCCTTCCTTTTTTCTTGTTTGCAGTTTTGTTACACCATGCCATCCCTTGCAAGACAGACTACTACACCCGAGCGAGCCTCATCCATCTAAGGGGCTGAGATGACCGAGGGGATGGGGGGGGGGGGCAATGGGGAGGGGCGCACTAGAATGTTGCTTCCCAGCTTCTTTCTAGAACTGGCCGAACTTTGGGGAAGCAGGATCAAGCAGGATCGGCTGACCAGGTCATAGCGTTTGGCTCCTGGGGGTGAGGGGGGGTGGGGTGAGCAGCCCTCAGGCTGGTGGTTCTCAGCCTGGTGTCGTCATTTCCTCCAGTAGAGGAGACAGACAAGATGTTATCAATGAGACAAGCCTTCCGAAAAGCCCCTTTCAAAAGCTACCACTTCCCCTGCTTATTTCGTGTGGTTTGGAGAAGCCAGGGCTCCTCCCTGCACACCCAGGACTTAAAAAAACAAAACGAGCCAACAACATCCCGAGAGTGCTCAGATTATTTTGCTCAGATTCTCTCCTGGCCCTTCTTTCTCTAGAGAACTCTCGCTGACTTCAGCCTTAGAAAGCAGAAGATAGAGAGGCCTCCCAAGCCATACTGGGGGCCCAGCTCCCTCCTCCCCCTGGGGTCCTTCTTTTCCTGCTCAGTTCTCATTAGAAGCTTTGAGTAAACAATACCCTCGGTCTCAGATAACAGTCAGAGTAAATCAAAACACTGGAACTGAAATCAAAACAAACAAGGGTCCCCCTACAGCCATTTCCCAGCAGGCTCAATTCCTGGAGGGGGAAGAAGTCTGGGAGGTGGGTCCAGAATGGACTGTACCTCAACCACACACAGGGGCAACGCTGAACAGTCAGTCATGAGGAGCCGTCCCACAACTGAGGGCGCACTCAAGTCCCACAAATTCCGCTAGGAGACGCCACCAAGACCTCCACCAATGGCCCAGAAGGCCAGCGACACTGAGTGCCCAGAACTGTCCCGGAATTTCCCCCACCCCTTTCCCTCTTGCTTTATAGCTAGTTCTTAGAAAATACATGATGTGGTAGGGGGAGGGGAAATGAAGAAAAAAAAAAAAACGGTCCATAGAAAAAAGAGCGAGCTGTCTCCCAGAGTGCTTCTTGTCCTCAGAGACAATAACGCACAGGGCTCTCTCTCCCGACTCCTCCAATCCTATGACTCTCTAGCTCCATCTCTCCGGGTCTTTGGTCTGTGAACCCTGAAGAAAGCTTGTCCAGCTGAGGACACCTATGGTCCACGGCAAGCCCCTGCCCTGCCGCAAGAGAACCCCTGCAGTCCACCGAAACCCAGCTTGCACCTGGGCTGTGCCCCGTAAACGTGGGTCCTGTCTCCTTCAAGGCATGCGTGCAAGAGCAAAATAAGGCTTAAAAGCGCCTGAGATCTTGCCAAAGTTAACAAATGGAAGAAACTTAAGTCAGGAGCTGCTTAAAAACCATGAGGGAATGGCAAGATGGCTCACAGGATAAAAGCGCCCACCACCTCGCCTGATGACCTGCCCTCCATCCCTGGCGCCCACAGGGCGGAAGGAGAGAAACGACTCCTATAGGCTGTCCTCTGAACACATGTGAGTAATGAACAGTAATACACACACACACACACACACACACACACACACACACACACACACACACAGAAAATTCAGAAAAATGAAAAAGAACCACAAAGCCTGTCTCACAATCAGCTCGCAGCTGACCCCAGTTTTCCCGATCCTGGGAAGGGCAAGGCTCTGGCGCATAAAGGACCACGGGATGACAGGCTGAAGGGCACTACTGTCACCCCGGATGGGTCTCGTTTAAGGCATATGCCAATGAGGTCAATTCCAGACCAGCCCGCTACCACCACCCCCACACTCCTTTAGCCTCCAGCAACCTCTAAGAAAGGAGAAAAGTGTCTCACCTGAAAGCCCCCCGGGGGCCAGAAAATTCGTCCCCCCGGTTTCCGCGGAGGAAGGCACAGCATCTGGACAGGCTGCTGCAGAATTGGAAGAGAAAGAGAGGTAAATACGCAGATAAAAACAGAGACGGGGACTATAGAAACGATTCAGTGGTTAAGAGCACTGACTGCTCTTACAGAGGATCAAGGTTCGATTCCCAGCACCCACAAGGCAGCTCACAACCATCTGTTAACTCCAAGACCTGACACCCTCACACAGGCATACATTCGGGCAAAACATCAATACACATAAAAATAAATTATTAAAAAAAAAAAACCACCGTTCATTCTTACAAACACGAAAGAGCATGAAAGAAAGACCACACATTCCAAAGGGCTGACTCACAGGCACGCTGCAGATTATTAATGGTCTACCGAGCTTCATGGTCCAGCCTAAGACAGACCACAGCACCTTGTCACCCGTCTGGGCTCCAGGCGGCCAGTTAATCATTAGTCAAGTCAGGCTCAATCACAGACTGGCTGGAATTTCTCTTCTATTACAAGTCTCCCATTGAGATCAGGTAATTCCCAAGGTCAAGGAAGGTTCGAAGTGTACTTTCTCAACCCAGTTTTCTCTCCCACCGGGCACAAAGCCTCCTTCCTCCTCCTCCCATACTGACTTCTACTAGTTCTATCATAGCTCCACCTGGGTCCAGCCCATCAGATCAAGACAGACTTCTCAGCAAGGAAAAGGGCTCAGCTGGAGGGAAATGGTCTACCTGCTTCCAGACTGGTCCAAAGCCACCTCTGGAAACCTGCCCAGACCACCCTATTCTTACGAGGCTGCCTGCCTCAGTTCCTACACCATCTTTCTAGCACCCTTTCCTTCCATTGTCTTTACTAGACCTTAACCTACAGATTCTGTATCCTCAGCCTCTCCCCGCACCCCCAGGTGCTCAGCAGTGACCTCAATGTAATGACAATTCCAGCTGAGAAAGAGACCAGCTACAGCCGCCCTCCAAGCAATTACAAAAAAAAAAAAAAAAAAAAAAAGACAATTTAATGTACAGGAAAGACAAATAGTTAGTAACCAGGAAAGCAAATGCATGGGCCCCTGGAACTTTCTTTTGCACCATTACCAATGTCCAAGTTCTTCCCAAGTCCCCACAGAAAGTGGGGCTCTGGGAAACACACGCACCA